GTTGTAAGCATTACCTCAGGTTCACATGCATACTGGGCATAAATGGCAGGGCATCAGTAGCAGGAGGCTGCCAGGGTGCCCTGTGTGGGAGGAGGCCCTGGTTCCAGCTGTCTCTGAAACAGATGGAAACAGCCCATGGTGCTCCAAAACTTCAAGCAATCAGAGGAGCATGTGCCAGCACTTTTCAAACTTTTATATAAGAAAAAGTAGCTACTAGGGCAGGAGATTTATTAAATGATGTGTTTGGAACAGATGTTCTTGGGAGATGTGCAGAAGGAGAAACTGCTGAAGAGATGTGTAGCTGAAGATGCGCTCTTGGAACAAGGTGCTCTATGCCAAAGAGGTATATCTCTGAGGGGACTGCAGCCCATGGAGGACCCAGGCCAGAGCAGGTACATTCCTGAAGGGACTGAGGTTTGTGGAGGGCTCCTTCCAGAGCAGCAACACTGAGAAGTGTGGAGAAGCAGAGGAGACCCAGCGAGAAGCGCAGAGCAGCGGAAAGAAACTGTTACATGCCCAACCTCAATCTCCTGTGGGGCCTGTTGCCTCGTCAAAAGAATTGGAAAGGGCTGAGTGCAAGCCATGATAGCAACAAGGGAAGCTGAGACTAGATAGGGAGAGGAGGTGCTTGGCTTAGGTGGAGCTTACGAAAGGGGGAGGAAAGGTATTTCCTGAAGTGCTTGTCTATGTTTTCTTTTTCTTCAAAGGCTGAGTTAGTGACAAGAAATTTGTGTTAGCTGTCAATAAATAAAGTAAAAATTCCCTGAGTCAAGACTGTTTTGCCCATGATAATGTGTTAAAGAGTAACAATGCTTGAGGTAATGCTACGGTGTGAGGCATTTTCTCCATTTTTGTGAACTGCAGTGCCCACAGATGAGCACAATATTCCTGGTACAACCTCACCAGTGCTGAGTAAAGGGTGATTGTAACTGCCCTTGATCTGCTGGATTTGTCTTATTTCTGGTAGGAGTGTATTACTGGCTTGTATTCAACTTGGCATTTGCTGTAAGCCCCAGTTATTTCCAGCATGACTGCTATGTTACCAGTTATTTTCCAAGCTATATTGAAGTATGGGTTATTTTATCTTGCATGCAGAACTCTTAACCTCTTATTAAACTTCGGGAGGTTTCTGTTGCTCCAGTCTTCCAGTTTACTGTGTTTCCTCCGGAGTCAGCCACTCTCCCTAGTTTTGTGTCGTCTGCAGGCTTGCTGAGTGCACTCTGTGGTGCTGCCAAGGTCACTTGTTGCAGGAGGGGCGGCTGAGCCAACCACAGAGCATCCTGACGCTTTGGTCCCCACAGCACTCCACGCTACAGAAAAGGTTCGAGGTGGCAGTATAGGTGTCCCTGTCACTTATGAATGCGTTCACAATTAACAGCCAGAAACAAATAACAAAGTTTAATGTGTATCACTGGTAGGAATAACAATTAAAAGCTAGTAATAACAATAATAATAACAATATACAATTAATTAATCAATTAATTCATACAACTCCACAAACAACATGGAACACAAATAATTACAATATTTAGAAGTACATATACATACATACACACACACACACACACATATATATATATACAGGGTCTCAAATTAGTAAGGGGAAAGGTGCCCGGTGGCTACGCTGGAAGGTGCCGGAAGGGATAAGCAGGCCTGGCCTGGGGCGGGGGTTGTCTCTTCAAGCCCAAGGGCTCCTAAGCAGGCCACACCTGGCGCAGTGTGCCACTGCTATATGGCTCCAAAGATAAGCAGGCCACGCTCCAGCTGGTGTGCTGCGTCAGTTACTGCTCCCCGGAGCGGGGGTGTGTGTAATACTCATTTGTTCACTGATGTTAGTGGTGGGGGAGCCCCAGCTGCCTGACCCAGTGTCCCAGATCAGGGGGGGCACAGCAGCACTGGCTGTCCTGCAGCCTGCCGGGAAGGAGACCTTCCCTTGAGGGTGGGGGGAAGAGAGCCTTAAAAAAGGGTGCCCAGTTGCTTCAGTGAATTCAGCTTTCTTCTCTTCTCCACCATCACAAAAAACCACTGTGGTGGGTAGCATGTGCTCCTTTTATACCTATCCCCCTTTGGGCCTGCAGGCAAGTGATTGGTCGAATTTGTCTAGACCCCTGCTCTTAGTGGTCCCTTTTCGATCCCTAATTATAATGTGGACCTGTTTGCAGACAGCTGTGTAGACTTGTCTTCCTTCTGGAATATTCTGCTTGAGTGACAGGTACAGGCTTCTAGGGCACATGTTAGTCCTCCACCAATGATTTTAAACTGTGGTTGGGGGAGATTTCTGTGGGCTAACTGGGGTCACAGAAAGGACAAGGTAACTGACACCTTATACCCATTGTTCAATAAAACCCATTTTCCTAATTTTTCCCCTAAACCAAACCTTCCATGATATCAGTGATGAAGATATTGAAGAATAAGAGTCTCAGTATTAACCTGTCATGCACCCTACTTGTTGCTGTAGTGGGGGGAGAATAAATTGTTATTCCTAGTCCTGAAAGACTGTGTTACCAGTGACCTTACTGGATAATGAGTTTCTGCAATGAATGTTTCATATACTGTGCTATGTGATCATCAGACTGGTGAGACATGGATCACTGCTCTCTTTACTGTAGCATAAGATCTAGGAGCAAATTCAGTGTATAAAGCTTAATGTATGTGATGGACAGTGGATGTAGCTGCATTAGATATTTTACCTTCTCTTCACCCTTCAGATGTCACCAGCCAATTGTAAACACAACTTATGCCTCAAGTTCCTTGTGTTGCCTATTTTTAAGCAGACTCTCTAAAGTACAAAGTCAAGTTTAGGGAGTAGAGATTGCTTTATTCTGCACAGGGTGCTTGGTGGACAATTCCACAAATCAAGCACACCTGATTACTACACAGCCGACACTTTATACAGTTTGAGCAACAGTTATCGGTGCATTTTGCAACTATATTAAGTCATCCTCGTTCCCATTGGTTTCTGCTAAGTCTCGTCTTCATTTAAAGTTACAGTACCCTTCTTTTCTACTACATATGCTCTACGGAGAAGGTTGTTAGTGGGGCTTCCCTGCTAGTGGGTGGGTTTTTCACTATGCTAATTGGGATGGTTCACCCGTAGTTCAAGCAGTTCTCTTTGGTTTATCACCTGTCTTTGTTCTCTTCAAGCTTATTTAGATAATTCCTTATCTGGCTGACTTATGGTGTCATCCTGCTCCTTTCTTCAAGGCCTTGTTTTGTTAACTGAGTAATGACCTTCTTCCTGGAACTTTGGGTGCTTAGCCAAGTATTATATACAATAATTACATAGTTACATTCTCAGGTCTTTCAAATGGAATTTCTCACACAGATACATCACTTGTTCCTCACACATATGATAACAGAAGACCATTTGATAAGCAATGATAATTACCTCTGAGCAGTGCTCTTTTCAGCAACATTAGATTTATAGTCATAAGTGAAAATCAGGAAACAAACTTTGAAACCTCTCTGAACAGTTGGCCTTGCACCCCTCACTTATTTCCTCCCCAAGGCATAAAAAAAGGTGACTACATTTCAGATATCAGCAGTTAAATTTTAACAGGAAACTGCCAGGTGAAGGTCTCAGGTGGTTGCAGAAGGAAAATAAAGCTCTCTTATTTGGGACTCCACTTACTTAGGACTTCTGAAATGGCTTTGCTTTTTTCTTCCCCAATTTCATGTTCCATCATTACAAAGATGTCATATATATCCTGAAGACTTTAATAAGATGATTATAAGCTAGTCCTTTTAACATAAATATAATATTTTCAAAATTACCTAAGTGATACAGGAATCCAAGTCCAATGGGAACTTAGCTTCCATAAGGTATTTTTGAAGGTACTTTGTAGGTATTTTTGAAATGGGTAGTGTAAAAACATGGTCTTTGAAGAACTGAAAAATACAGATGATGAGGCACAAAGTGTATTCCTACATCACAAGAGCTGAATAATAATGATTGAATCAAAGTAATATTAACCCCATGATACAGATTTACCTTTTAATGTTCAAAATGTCTACAGAAGGAAGTATGGCTCACTCCTGTATTTTGTCATAAGATTAGCATGAGGACAGTGGTTGACACAAGCACAGTAAATTAACAATATTCAAAAGCTTTTCTGGTGCGGACCTTTAAAAGACTGCAGTGGGATTTCCCCTCTACATCTATCAGATTGGAAGAAAATGCAGAGGAGAGACATTCATGCTGGCTGTGCTGAAGAAAACTCACTGGTAAGTGGTCTGGGAATGGAGTGTAGCATCGAAGGGAATATGTGTGTAAGGGGGTGCTATAAAAGAAGAAATTCAATGTATGCCTTGCAAATAGGTAAGTAGTGTGCTATTGAGTGATAGCAACCCACCCTGTAACCTACTTGAAAAAAACTGTAATGCCTATTCAATTGGAGTACAATTATAAAGCATTATTACCCTTGTTGCATTTGGATAAGGAAAATCAAATAACCCAACCAACGGGATAGATGTACCTTAATATTCACTTAGAAAGATACAGTTCACTGTGGAAAATCTTAGCATTATACGGTCTGAATATGAAGCTCGATGCAGTCTTGTTGACTGGGAGATGGACATAAATGCAATTATTTCCATTTTCAAAGAATGAGCTCAGAGAATTATTGCCCTTTATGCAAATAACAGAGCAAGCCAGAACTAGTGCATTGACCTAACTGTTCTGATGAAATTGCATTTTTTATTTGGCATACTCCCTACGTGTCAAAAACTTCAGCTGGAGAATTTGGACCCCACCGAGGGGCACACGTGGTAAACTCTCAGGTTTTTTTAAGTCAGATATTACCATTTCCAGCTAATAATGATCACGAAACACGGAAGTGTTTTACATTTTATTCTCACCTTCTTTGTATGTAGGTGTGCTTTGTTGCGTCAGAGCCTCTCTGATGCCAACAGTACCAACAGCCTTGCACTTCCTACAGCATAACCTCAGGTAAGCACTCAGGTCATTTGATTCATTGCAAGCCTGTGAGAGCTGCCTGCTTTCCCTGTCAATGGTGACTTTTACAGATATATATATAAAAGAAAATACGTCTACGTTGTACCTTACTTTTGTCAATTCTATGACCTGTTAAACTCAGTTAATTGCTTCATCTGAGCAGTCTTTGCATCTGCTTGACTGAGAGCTATTTGAAACATCAACTTCAGAAAGAGAAGACAGTGCAAACCTAAAACAAATACAAATTCCAACGAGCAAAAGGCTTAATTTCTTTATACTTAGATGGCGCCCTGGAGGCGACTGGATAAAGTTATGCTGTTAATAATGAATGCAGGTTTTGTGTTTTATATTATGCACTTACTACAAGATTTAAGAAAGGGAAGAAGTGACTCCTTAGTAGTTAATCCTCGGTCTCTTAACCAAGAAAATACCGTCTTTGAGAGACTGGACCATTTGGATTGGCGCATTTACAACCTCTGTAAGTAAAACACAATGCTGTTTAACTTTGTGAGAATTAGATCTCTAGTTTTCCTGAAGGATAAAATAACAGATAAGAGAGCTAATGTTTGTTTGGATCTCCCTGGGCATTCTTTATTTTTTCTTGCAGTCTTGAAAAAGACTTGGTAATGTCTTCATTTATATATAACACAATGAAGTCTTTCACAGACTGTGTTTTTTGCATATTAGACAGTTCCTACCCCTTAACTCTTTTAGAAGTGGTTAGTGGTTTTAAGGTGATCATATCAGCAAACTAATCTCAAGTGGCTGTTAGTCTTGAAATGGAGGGAGTCCCTGGAAGTCCCTCTTGCCCCATTTCCTCAGCCTCTGCTTTGTGGGTGAATAACAAGGGGGAATTGTGACCAGCCTTGCCTTAGTCCTTGTACCCTGAGCATAGACACGATGGAGTAGGTCAGAGCAAAAGGGTGTTGCGGAACTTAATGTCACCAACTTAATTGGACTGCGTTCTAAAGCAACATTTGGTAAGATATACCAGCAAGGCTATTTCTTTCTCATCCCATGATGGTGCAAGCCCAACATCCAAGCAGATGTGCTTGTGTATGAGGGATATTAATTTAGGAAGGGCCTTCACTTTCTTACAGTGAGGTTCATGAATTTTGAAGAGCCTTGCTTCAGCAGCTATTTGTTGTAGCTTTGACTGTTGGGAAGTGTATAGACTTGTGCATGTGCGGTTTGTTTAAGTGGTCCCTAATCTGATCCTCCTCCATCAAGAGTAAGTCTTCCTTGCTCCAGACTTCTCTCTGGTCTCAGGGGCAGGGGATTCTTGAGGGCTGGGCTTTTACCGGTAAAGACTGAGGCAAAGAAAATATTGAGTACCTTTGCCTTTTCTGTGTCCTTTACCACCAGGGCCAATGACCCATTTAGTAGAAGGCCCACAGTTTCCCTAGCCTTCTCTTTGCTGCTTATGTACTTGTAGAAGCTTTTCTTGTTGACCTCAACATCCCTTGCCAGTTTCAACTCTAGGTGGGCTTTAGCTTCAGGTGTCCTGCCTGCTCAGGCAGTGTCTCTGTATCCCTCCTGGGTCCTGTCCCTGCTTCCACCTTCTGTATACTTTCTTCTTCTGTCTGAGTTTTGCCTGGAGCTCCTTGTTCTTCCAGGCAGATCTCCTGCTCCCTTGGCTTCATTTCTTGCTCACTGGGATGGACCATTCTTGAGCTTGGAGGAGGTAATCCTTGAATATCAATCAGCTCTCTTGGATTCCTCTTCCCTCCAAGGCCCTATCCCATGAGATTCTTCTAAGCAAGTCAAAAGAAGCCGAAGTCTGCTCCTCTGAAGTCCAGGGTTGTGATCCTGCTCTTTACCCTGCTTCCTTCCTCACAGGATCCTGGACTATGCAATCTTGTGGTTGCTACAGCCAAGGCTGCCCTTGATTTTCACCTCTCTGACCTCTTCTTCCTTGTTTTTAAGTATGAGATCTAGCAGAGCACCTCTCCTCACTGGGTCCTCAATCCTCCACTGCTAGGGAGTTGTCATCAGTGCATTCCAGAACCCTCCTGGATTGCTTGTGCCCTGCTGTGTTACCTCCTTGAGCAGATATCAGGGTGATTCAATTTCCCACGAGGACCAGGGCCTGCAAACATGAAGCTTCATCCAGTTCTCTGAACGAGGTCCCATCTACTACTTCCTGGTCAGGTGTTTTATAGCAGACAGCCACTACAATGTCACCCGTTTTGGTCTGCTGGCTAATCCTGACTCACAAGTTCTCAGCTAACCCCTTTTCTGTCCCCAGGCAGAGCTCCATGCTTTGCAACTGCTCTCTCACATGAAGGGCAACTCTCCCTCCTCATCTTCCTGGCCTGTCCTTCCTAAAGAGCCTGCATCCATCCCTTTCAGCTCTTCGGTTATGTGAGCTATCCCACCATGTCTCCATGATCCCAATGAGACTGTAGCCTTTTAATGACACACAACCTTCTAATTCCTCCTGTCTGCTTCCCATGCTGCAGGCATTAGTGTACAGGCACTTCAGAGAGGCACCTCAGTATGCTAACTTCCTAGAAAGGACATGAGCGCTTTCCCCATAATGTGGTCCCATAGGCACTGCCTTATTTACATGCATATGCTTAGGATGATTCTGTAGTAAAGATTACGGGTACTTACCTTTATGGAAGAAGTCCTATAATTTGAGTGCTGGAGACAAAGACACTTTCATTCGTCTGCTCTGAATGTGAAGCTCTAAAGCCGAGATGGGGAGATATGAGAACGTGCACAGCACTTCCAGTTGGGCACCTCTCGCGTGACTCATTGGTATATGCATTTGCTGAACTCTTTCTGTCCCATGAGCCTGGGTGCATAACCAAACTGCGTGAGTTCCATGTGGGGCATGAATGCTGAAAGTGAAGTTCTGCAGGATTTGCCTTGTAGACATTTAAGTCCCTTATTGGACCTGTCTTGAGGATGCAAGTTTTTAGTTAAGACCAACTTTGGTGTACCAGGGCAATAACTTTATGTAGTTGTTCCCTGTGGGTGCTTTCTTAATATGCTAGAGTTAGGAGTTTAACTGGACAGAGCAATGAAAGACTGACCAGTCCAGGGAGATCATCAAGATCTAAGGTCTAAGCTGCTTCAGATACTCAAAAAAGTTTACTTAAATCTGGATAGACCATGTGGCACTGAATTGTGCTATATGGAAATGGCTGCATAAAGTAATTTATAAGGCAAATTTTAAGTAAATTAAGAATATACACACAGGGAGCATATGCATATAAATACTTTCGCTTTAAATTCATGCCCTACCTTAATTTTGTAGTATGTTAGGCCCTAAATTTATCTCTATATCTGGAAGTGTAAGAGTCCAAAAGGGAAAAGAGAAAACCCTCTCTGCTTATTCCTCCAAATAATGTTTTCTGTTTTGCTTCTCAAATGGAAGAAATACTAGAGGAGAAGACAGTAATTCTTTGCTTCTCACAGGCTCTAGACCATAATTAAGGACAGTTGTCAGGCTGCCCTAATTTAATATGATGGCTTTACGCTTATGTGCTTGTCTCAGATTATTTGCTTTACAGAAGTGATTGTATGACACATTTTGCCGGTTTGTGGGTTTTACTTGTGCTTCAAATGGCGATGTAATGACTTTAACTTCACTTGTGCTTGGGTAAGTGGATATTTCTCCAGGGAAGACAATTTTTAGTATTATACTAACTGTTCTATTCCACTTTGGGCCTTGAGTACAAAATGCCAGGAGATCAGGTCTAGGTCAGTGACTCTGAAGTTCTTCCATTGCATCTGGAAAAAGGTTGCTAATTTGTTTGAATTGATTGTGTTAACGCAACAAAGTGAGAAACACAGAAGAAGAATGCTTTCTTTTTTTTCTTTTTTGGCAAACATAGACAAAACAACTTTGCAGTTTTTGGGTATCTGAAAGTCCTTCTGAATGCCCTTTCACAGAATCACAGAATGGCTGAGGTTGGAAGGGACCTCTGGAGATCATCTAGTCCAACGCCCTTGCTTGAGCAGGGTCCTCTAGAGCATATTTCCCAGGATCGCGTCCAGGCGGGTTTTGAATATCTCCAAGGATGGAGACTCCACTACCTCTCTGGGCAACCTGTTCCAGTGCTCTGTCACCCGCACAGTGAAGAAGTTTTTCCTCAGGTTCAGATTCTGGTTCCACCTTCCTGTGGTTCAGTTTCTGCCCGTTGCCTCTTGTCCTGTCACTGGGCACCACGGAGGAGAGTCTGTTCCCATCCTCTCAACACCCTCCCTTCAGATACTTGTAGACATTGATGAGATGGCCTCTCAGTGGTCTCTTCTCCAGGCTGAACAGGCCCAGCTCTCTCAGCCTTTCTTCAGAGGAGAGATGCTCCAGTCCCCTTATCATCTTTGTAGTCCTCCGCTGGACTCCCTCCAGTAGTGCCATGTCTCTCTTGGACTGGGGAGCCCAGAACTGGACACAGCACTCCAGGTGAGGCCTCCCCAGGGCTGAGTAGAGGCACAGGATCACCTCCCTCGACCTGCTGGTAACACTCTGCCTAATGCAGCCCGGGATACCATTGGCCTTCTTGGCCACAAGGGCACATTGCTGCCTCATGGTTAACTTGTTGTCCGACAGCACTCCCAGGTCCTTCTCGGCAGAGCTGCTTTCCAGCAGGTCAGCCCCCAGCCTGTACTGGTGCATGGGATTATTCCTGCCTAGGTGCAGGATCATGCACTTGCCTTTATTGAACTTCAGGAGGTTCCTCTCCGCCCAGCTCTCCAGCCTGTCAAGGTCTCTCTGAATGGCAGCACAGTCTTCTGGTGTGTCAGCC